TCATTGTTTTTTTGCCACTTCGATGGGCCTTTACTGTCCTTTTTACCAACTGCTGTATAGATATTGTCATAAAGATCAGAAAGCTTATGGAGAATCTTGGGGACATTGCAATGATGAAAAAGGAAAATGACACTGGGGAAATGGGGGTGATTATACGCCATATCATCAATATCATATTCAACATTAATAGGTTAAGTGCAGTCCTAACAGAAAATGTTCACTGTTGGTGATTTAAGTATTTTCTCTCACCATTGAAAAACAGATCTAGTATATCAGCTATGCTGTTAGCTCAGCTTGGATTGCTACATGAATTTCACAAAAACCTTGAGACACCAAAACTAAAATGTAAAACATGATCTAAGTGCTTTAATAAAATAAAAAAATATGCATAGTAATATTACATTTTAATTATTTCAGTAACAAAAATATCTGTAATCTTGGTTCTATGTTATTTAATTTCCAAACAGACTTTAATAAAACATGTAAAATGATACTTGCTAGTGTTTCTCTGTCACATATTTCCTGACTCTAGATATGCAAATTAACATGATGATTGTAAGGTACAAGACCAAAAACACAATGACAAAAGCTGTAAAAATACTTGATTTAAATACTTAAACCTGCTCAGGGTGTGGTCAGTCCAGGATTGTATCTGCAAAATAATCAAACTGGGCTGTTTTTAACTGTGGTCACTTTAGAAACCGTATTAAAACAGATTTTGCATCAAGTTAAAGTTTATGTCAAGAATTTCATGGCCTAACTGCCTGTGTTTGTGTCTTGAACCTCATTTTAGCGGTTTGTCAAGACAATTAAGCATAATTTCTGAGAAGGGATTTATTTTTACAGGTGAAATTAAAGGGGAGTGAAGTGGTCACAAGAGCAGGCTTTGGTCACACTTCAGACATTAGTTCTGCATACCGTTTAAGTTTTCATGGGAGCTGCACACCCATTGTCATTAGCACAGAGCTAATTAAAATGAGATAGAAAACCAGTCCCATTGAAATATCAAATATTAACTTGCCTGTGACTTGCAGGATCCATCATTTGATAGACACCATAATTAAGATAATGAAATTTGAATGTGTTAGCAGTTCTATTTAAAACACTGACACTGAGAATGTTTTGGGACAGCAGTCTAATTTAATTAAATGTTAAGGGTTTCAGTTTTGTCATCATTAAAGTGTTTCAGAAAATTTTGACAATGTGGAAATTTGGAATTGGAAAGAAGACGCGTTAACAGAAGCAGAGGTGAGCCACACAAGTTTGTGAATCTTGAGCAGCGTCCTCCAGTTCTTCTTGTGAAAAAGATAATTGAAAATCCAAACCTGTCAGAGATTCTGGCCTTGTCCTCCAAGCCTTCTTCCCAGCTGGCTGCGCCTTGCATACGTCTCAAGAACAGAGAACATAGCGAATCCTTATCAGGTTTCTAAGCCACGTGAACTGATGTGACCTGCTGAGCCCCATGGAGGAAGCCTCCCTCGCTGAGCTGTGCATTGAATTCTCATTTATGAAAACAACCACCAGGACAAGAAAGACGGAGGGGCTTTTCATGAGTCTGGCTGAACGCTACATATGGAAACACTGCTTTCTGTATTCCCAAAACAGATTCCACACAATATCCTAAAGGATTCAAACTGTTTCCAGCTTTTGTTTAAACTGCAGAAGCAAAGTCAAACTGATTTTTATAAAAAAAAAAAACTCTTCCAATTTACTTTAAACTGAACAAACATCCAAGAGTATGGATCAATGACCACAACAGGGAAAATGACAGAAAAATTACATCAACCCACATGGAAAATAGATTTCTTTGGAGTAATTTTTAAATATATATAATAAAGCAATTTTTTATTCATTATTGAAACTCTTTAATAACTGAAAACAATATGTCCAACTGCGCTATCAGAGCACTGAAGAAAAAAAAAGGGATGACTGGATAATACCTGGTGTGAAAAATGTACTGAATGTGGGTGCTGAAAATTATATGACAATTTCTGCTGAGGTGGGAGGGGGGGGAATAATGGAGATAATAGAATATACATGAACTGCTAATGTGGAGACACTGAGAGCCAGATTTAGTAGCAATTATTAAACCGAAAGCGGCACGAATCCGGCACATTAAACAGTCCCTTCTCTGTGATGCATCCAAAACAATTTCTTGCCTGAGTAGCCATACATGCTTGTTCGGCAATCTGATTAAGATGACTCTCGATCAGGAAAGAGACAGGAGATTGTATCTGCCTGCTCTCAGTAAACCCCTTTTTCCTTCCCTTTTTCTCTGTCAAACTTCCTATTCCCACTAATTTTAATAACTGTCATCTACAACAATAACACTGAAGTTTAACTCTCCATGCACTTTTTTTCTGAAAAACCGGTTATTAGAAATGGATGAAAACTACTACCATAGCTGCTTTTAATATTAATGGAAAATTAATATCATAATAAAATATTTGTAAACCATTTTTTAATTGGATATTTCCATAATGCATGAATGTAGGAAGGTGTTTTGTGTGCATACAGCATACTGTAGTATACTGAGGAATGCATTGACGCTAATCTAAACAGTCCTCATTTGATCTACCTCTAAAAGCTTTCACCACTAGGAATTAAAAAGCAGGCTAAAACCTAAGGTGAATGTCTAAATAGTTGACCTACACTTGCAGCACCACTCAAAGCAAAGGTCAGACCTGTTGTGCCTCCAGGCAGTTATGGAAGTGACAATCTAAAGTTACAGATGTGACTGTTGAATGTAATTAAATCACTTAAAGGGAACTGTTGTTTTTAAATGGCCTGCAGGATAAAGATACCAATTGCTTTCTTTGAAAGTCCATCAAAAATCTGTTACTACTTTAACATTTTTTCATATGGAAACTTTATTCATGAGGGAATGCATAAATAACTGACTCAGGTGGTCAAAAAAGACTCAAAGATTTTTAAACAAACAGGACAGTTTAACAATGTAAAGAGCAAATGAGACGATTATAACCATCTGGGATCAGGTCTTTGCATTTACATTTAGAAATTGTATCTCAAATCATGTTCCTACTTTAAAACAATTTAGGAGGACCTGAAGAGAAGCACTTTACAGGAAGATAAATTCTGTCATCACAGGAAAACGGTTCAATGTAATGTACTTTTAAAGTAAAGCCAGCCTCGGTGCAAGAGCATGATTATATAGATGATCTGTCGAGCTCTTCTGTCTTCAGGTGGCGTTGGGTGGTGCAATGAGAGACTTGACTCCACATGTTACTGGCCATCACTCTTCAGCTGATGGTGTGTTCAAAGGTGATTACTGACCCTTGAGAGACTCTTTATTTCAAAGAAATTACATATTGCAACATGTGTAACAGAACTGAAACAAGTATTCAACAGGGTGTTATAAAAACAGTCTTACTTTAAATGGCTTACATTACTTTTGTGTGTAGTTGAGTTACAGATCAGTTTTTTTCTTATTTATGCTCTCATACCAAATGATTCATTGTAGTAAAGCCATCTATTTTACCTTCTTCGATTTCTGAGGCTTTGCATTGCATATAATGTGCCCTTTATTACACTGTCATGGATCAGTAGACCACATGAATTGAACTGAAGCCTCATTAATTGTAGGTAACACATGTGTCTTTATTATAGCGACAAGTAAAAATGACTTACTAGAAAAAGAGACATCATATCCCTAGCAAGGAAAAATAAATCTACTTGAAAAATGATCAATTTCCAGGTTTATTATTGGAGCTTCAATGAAGCCAACAGATTTAACTACATTTACTGTGGTTTTATATTTAGACTCCAGTCCATTTCTTGATTCTTTGAAATGTGCCTTGGTATTCCAATTTTGTAAAATGTTTTGGTATATTCTATGTTGCTGAATCTTTGTCAAGTTTACTGAAGAAAATGGAATGGCATAAACCTTGCAAGGGCTCTGGTAAGGTATAACCAGATAAAAGTCCAAATTCTTGCAAAGCAGCTAAGATGAAAATTGTTGAAACATGAATTTTAATATTGCTTATTCTAAATTTGATTTCAGTTGTTTTAACATTTGTCGGAAAATCTCAGGAATGATCTTCACAGACCTTATACTGGAAATCGGCTTGATCTTAAACATACAGGACAACGTATCTTTTGGGTGTTTGTAAATAAATATTTCAAGTGAAAAAACCACTGGACCTTCTAAGAAAATGATGTTTTTTATTGGTTAACAATGAATAAAGGGTCTAGTGACATAAAATTTATTGCAAATGTCAGTCACAAACCCAGTAATCGACACATACAGGCCAAAAAACACTGAGTTCATAAAATAAAGCAAACAAAAAGTTGACTACATAGAAATAACTACTTTGCTACTTTATGGTGAAATTATGTTGCTTCTACTTCCAAATTATGAACCAAATGGGAGTAACAGAGGTTTAGAAATACATCTATAACTAATATTGTAAGTATGTCTTAAAACAACATGGTGGCAAAGATCTAGACCCATCCCATTGCCTTTATTCATCATTTTTTAAATCAATCTGTTTCTCACAATACCTCAATAATGACAAACCTTTGAGAAATACACATTCTAACATGGTGTGTATTTATTTTCTGTACATGCAAAATCTGAACAAGAAAAATCTTACTAGACTGATATTTTAATTTAGTGGGCCTTGATAGACATGTTTTCCTTAATTCAAATGTTTCATATAAAACAGCAGTGAGATTGAAATGTCATGTTTATTTTCAATACTAATGCACTTGGCTCTGATCCAGTGACAGTGCTGCAAGTACTTAACTCCCACACACACATGCACAAATTCACAGATTTTCTCACTATTTCTCTTTCTTACACCCATAAGACCACAGAACTGCACACTAGTCCAGGATACTTTCTATTTTAATGATCATAATTATTTGATGATGAAGCTTCTAGTTTCTCAGCCACCCCTTTGTACACATGATCTAGCAGTGAATAATTTAGCGTGAGGAGCTAAAAAGGTGGGTCCTTTAAAACAGTAGGTACACTCAAACTCTGGGGGAAGGACACAGAGCCTTTTTCATCCTAACTTTACATCCACCCAGTCCTTACACACGGCTTTTCAGCCGGACTCTCAGTCCAATATTTTAATCCATCAGTCCACACAGTCATCCCAAGGCAACATCGTGTCAAACGAGTGCCGTTCTACTCAAGAAGGGTCTCGTAGATGGACTGACGCTTTCTCCTCACCTCATCCTCAGTCATCTGCCATGGAGGAATTTCAAAGGAAGCTGAACCAGCGCTATGAAGGCACCAAGCCCAGAAAGGCAAGTTATTTATGGAACTACTTTCTTCCAGCTTTATAGGTTTGAAGTGCTGACTCTGTCAGAGTAAAAAATAAGCTCAACTAATTGTTATTTTTTCTGAAAAGTAATTTAACAGATCTAAAATACTTGATATTATGACTAAGAATTCATTTCTGTTTGTATCTGATTTTGATAAAATGCTAATTGGAACAGAGAAATGAAGTTCAGCCTTGTGTGCATGCCCGGATCCTCCTCCTCCTTCAGAGATCAAACAGCTTTTTTTTCACTCGAATATCTTCTTCTATTTTAAGGCTGCCTCTTGCTATTGCTGCATCTTTTTAATGTCAAAAAGCTGCTGAGCAGAGGAGCATAATCACACCTTTTACTCCCTGAAACTGTAGGTGAGGTTCAAGCTAGCCTCATCCTACAGCGGTCGGGTGCTGAAACACGTGTATGAGGACGGTCAGGAGCTGGAAAGTCCAGAGGAAAAATACCCTCACAGCTTTATCCACCGTAAAATCCCACCCAGCCACCTTGAGATGGAGCAGTTTTGCAGCTTTGAGGAGACTAATAGGGACGAACAAGGTGGGTTTTATTAGTGCAACATGTTTATGACTCTATTTTAGTTTTACTATTTAGTCAAAAATGGTTTGCATGGAGGAGCACATGCACTACTTGCTGTATGATTTTCATTTATTGACCTTTTGAATGATGTACATTTACATTGTATATGACCTATAATCAAAATATTCACTCTCCACTTAAGGAAGGCACACTTGTTCAACTGATTGTTAACATAAGCAGTGATTTATTAACTTAAATGGCTGCTCTTCAATGTATTAAGCATCTAGACTTGGCGAAGGAAATGGAAAAGAAATGGGATTTAAGTGACTTTGAACATGGCCTAGCTGTTGTTGACTGTTCTGATCTGCTAGGATCTTTGAACAAAACCCTCTGTTGGATTCACAAAGCTTGTTCTAAAAAAGAGAACATATTCAGTGAGCTGTTGTGTAGATCAAAATGCATGTCATCGGGCATCGCATGGAGCAGTGGTTAGAGTGGACGCTCCATCTACAGAGGCTGCAGACGGATGCGGCCGTCTCAAGCATCCTTGGTACCTTTACCACATGTCTTTCTTCTCTTGTCTGAGCCTCTTCCCTGTCAGATTACTGTTGAATAAAGGCCACTACTGCCAAACAACATCTTTAAAAAGTCAAAAATCAATAGATAAAATGCATGTCAGATGTCAGAGGATATTTGACATCTGGTTCAAGATGATATGAAGGAACAGTAGTTTAAACAGGAAGGAAAAAACACTTCTGGGATAAAACCTTTCAGTGAAGAACAGGAAACAGAGGCTACATATCAACAAAAGCTCATTGGAAACAGATTGAAAAGACTTGCATCATGTATCTATCCTACAATGTGTCAATACAGACATCTGGAAGTTCCTCACAGGCCAAATATTATTATTGTACAAGCCACAGTTGGCGTGCAGGCTTGGGTTTGACAGATACACTTTTAGAGCAACATGAACATTATGTTTGCACCAGAATTTGCCAGCTGAGTTTTATTCATCTACACTTTGCCAGTTCAAGAACAATTTCATGTATCTGTGATCAAATTGTGTAGACTCCAGTTAAAATTTATCCAGACCAATTTAAATCCAATTGCATGGTCTAGTTAAATCCAGATTTTGTAAAAAAAAACAACAGTGAGATTCAGTTGATCTTAAAATATTAATTGTTATTGCCTCATAATAATACTTTTAATTATGCCAATAAACCAATTAGTCTCAATCTGTCGAAGATCCGTCAGACTCGTAATATATCAAAAATGATTAGAAGGATCAGTGATTTTATTGAGCAATTTCAATAAAATAAATAAAATTCAATACAAGTAAAGAAAAGAAGTATACGAACACAGCATCTGCATTAAAAGTTTGACAAATTTACAATCAATATTTATAGATATGTCAGTTAAGGAGTTTTAAAAAAGTTTTTGGATGATTGAAAAGGAAGGAAGACAAATTACATTTGATCAAAACAAAACTATGATCTAAATCTCAACTCCACTTGTGTGAACAGAGCTTTGCTTTGACTTTGAATCAAATTCACTGAATCGCAAACCACGACAGTCAATGTGCTAAACAAACTGTCATCACTTAGGAGAATTTTTTTTTACTGAAGAAACATGAGAGAGAGACACCTGCTCCCTTGCAGCTCTGCTTATACCGTAAATGGAGGATGGATTTCACAATGAAAACAAAAAATTATAATTTGTCAGTTTTTCCCCTAGTGTCAGGTTTCTTACACTAAAACGATGGGATCAACATAACACAGATGTGTTTTAATATATCAGATTTTGATAGAATCATTTTGTTCAGTGATTCAACTTGAAAAATGAAAATATTTGTGCTTTTATACGGACATGTCAACCTAATTCAAAGTATCTCCATGTATTGTACACTTAAAACTTGGCTTTTGAATGAATTACTGCAGAGTATTGCAGAGTGGCATTGAGGCGATCATCCTGTGGTGCTGCAGAGGTGTTAAGGCAGCTTTGGTTGAGAGTTGCTGTAATAGCCTCCTTCCTCTCGTCTGCATTATTGGGTCTGGTGTCTCTAATCTTTCTCTTGAGAACACCCAATAGATTTTCTGTGGGTTTTGGGTCAGATGAATTTGCGAGCCAATCAAGCACAGTGCAAGTATTGATACTTTTACAGTTTGGAAAGGCGCCAAGTTCGACTGAAAAAGGAAATCAGTCAGAAAAGGGAAGCATAAAGAACCCTACGATTTCAAGTTAGACGGCAGATCAGTGGATGATGGTTGAACTTTTCCTCTCAACCTCAGCATCTTCAACCCTTTCATAATATGGATCTTCATTTCCAAATGAAATGCAAAATGTGATTTTATCTGACTTTAGATTTACTTTAGATCTTGTATGAATAAACTTTTCTGAAAAACTGAAGCATTGAGTTATTCCCTTGAACAAACATGTGGAGAGAGCTGATTGCACCATGTCATTAAATCTGCAAGTTTCCCCTCATACACAGGAAAGCATATGGCAAAAGTCAAAAGGAAAGATGACCTTTAGCCTTTAGGTGAGATGGGACAAGTCACAACCATCTGCTGTGGTCGACTCGGGGTTCAAACTCTCTATGTTCAAGAAAATATAAACCAAATTTATACCAATAGTATCTCTTGCAGGTATTTAAACAGATAAGCTCTGAGCTTGTAAAATATGAAAAACATGATATAGTTACACGTATATCACCTTCTTCAAATTGATTTGAATGAGCCAATGAAGATAATCTAAAAGTGAGAGAAATATGACCTTTTGTCAGTTTATTTAGCTTTACATGTAAATAATACTCATAACAGTCAAGAAAGGCTTCTTACATTTAAATAGAAAACACACACAAAAGGTGATCACAGAGCAGCAAACTGAGAATTGAATAATTACTTTCTTATTTGCTATTGTTGATCTTCATGTTCCCTATTAATTTATTCCAAACCAGAATGCCACACGCAGTTTACTAAATACAGCTTCATCTTCTTAAAAGAACAAGATGGCCAAAAAATATTCCATTGGTTGAGTCGAGGCTAATAAAATTAAATCAGATATTTTTAAAGAGGCAAATTAGGATATGTGAGAGTGAAGCTGTATTTTTTAACTCTAATGCAAGTTGTTGAGCTATGCTAAGACTTCCCTTTGTTTTGTTTGATTCACTCAGGTTTCTATCCAACAACAGGACTCATTGCCCAAAGAATAAATGTATACCGAGGGCTGAGAAACTACAAGCCTGCAGGTGGTCAGACTGTGGAAACAGAGGGTGACAGCAAGGTAATAAAGCTCGCTGTTTGGGATGAGAAAATGGAAGATCCATTTCTTATTTGCCTGAAAGTCTAAAGTTTTAAGCACTTTCTTGATTTATTTTTTCTTGGAGGAATTTGTCACCGCAGATTTATCTTTGGTTGGAACTTGCAAAAGTTTCTTAAGTGGTTTTCGGCATTTTAATCAAAGTCCAATGAAATCAGATTTAGTTGCACTAGAAAATCAACAAACAAACCAACAAAGTGGAAGTATTGTCACATGAAACTTTTTTTAGAAGGTGTTACATCGATAAAAAAAAAAATAGATATATGAAGATGATGAAAGTCAAATTTCAATTTTGGTGTCTTGCCACATGTTCTCCAGTAGATTTAAAACTGAACTTTGAACTTTGATCTAAACTGAACTCTAACACATTGAGATCCTTTGAACTATTTCATTGAACAGTTATAGATGAATAGAGTCAAAATTATACATACATTTGGCAGATACATCAGTTTCAACATGATTCTTTGGACTGTCAGTAATCTTAAAGTTTTGATGTTGTCCTGGCTGACTATACATGGTGTGGCAAGGTGGAAAAGGGAATTTTTATGGCTGTTTTGTCAGTCTTTGTTAGGCCAGATATATGGAGAAATACTGACAGTTCCCTTTGCTGCTCCTCCAGAGATACCATGGGACTCTTAGCTGTACTTTTCTGTTCACCACTTCTCTTGTAGTTGTCACATACTCTTCCAGAATCTGATGACGGATTGATCAAACCACTGAAGATGTCTGAAGCTTGGGATAGCACTTATAGTCTAATCCTGTTTTAAAACTTTCTATGATTTTATCCATGACCTGTTTGCTTAGTTCTTGGTTGTCATGATGCCATTAATTTCTGAAATTGGAGGTTGTTTACTATTTTATTTTTATTTCAGATTTCACATGAGTTGGTTTGTGTTCTGAAATCTATTGAAAATACATTGAGGTTTATGGTTGTAAAGTTACAAAATGTGAAAAAAAACTAACAAACAAAACAAAACATAAAGGCTATTTATATTCCCACTCAAACAAAATAGTACAACAGTTTCAATTTTTGTCTGTGTGTCTGAGCAACATTAAACAGTTTTTTAAACTAATTTTCTAAAGATGACTGGAAACCCATTTCATGCCAGTTATGACAGAGGGACTGTTAAAAACTAAATGTTTTTGAACTAAAACAGGGTTTTTTTCTTTCGTTTATTTTTTATTTCTATTTTTCAAACGGACCAGTTTTACTGAGCTGCTGAGGAAAGCAGCTTCATTAGTGCATCAGTCCGAAACAGAGGTCAGCTGCAGTGCATGGCCTGCTGGATCCATGTCACTTTCATTGTTTCATCTTCCAAACACACACACACACAGATCCACACAGAGTCCAACTGACCACATTGGAACTGATCAGAAATTGGAAGGCAGAACTCTTACATTGTGTTATTAGTTTAGAGCAGTTCTGCGCTCGCATGTAATGACTGTACGGCAATATTTTTTAAATGCTTTAGTTGTTCTTTCATAATGGGATTTAAAGAAGATAATGTAAGAACTTTAAATGATTTGTAATTACTGAGCCTTTGTTGACAAGCAGCCATAAAACCTTGCACACAACACAGACTTTTCCCCCTTATCTCTGATTGTCTATTTCCCGTGATAACATAATATGTGTGCAGAATATGGAATAAATAAACAATTTTAAAGATATAAGGATCCAGCATTGTTGTCAGTATTAAGGATCAAAGGTTTCCTCTAAAATCTAATTATACTGCAGTAAGGCTTTCTAATAGAGGATTACTTGCTTTTCGATTTACCAAAAGCCTCATTAGCAGAGCTGCAGTAACAAAGCTTGTTTTGTTTTTGACAAGGGTGTGACTCTTCAGCCTCTTAGAACTTTTAATCTTCCCATGACAAAAGGAAGATGCTAAATGCAATTTTTATTTTGAAAATCCAATGCAAATTGTTTTATTGCATTATCTGACATACACAATTAAAACCATATATAAACACACAGCTGATAAAAAGACAGATGACCATTTGTAAATTGGTCATCTAGATGTGATGAATATTTGAATATCATGAAGTTCTACAATAATTTGTCTCATTCATAATTACTATAATTATTTATATTTTCTAAAAGAGACAATGAAGACATTAAACATTATCTTAAAATACCTCTGATGATGATGTTATGACTTTGTAAGCTTCTGATAGCTTAATTAATATGTTAGTTAAATTGAGGCCCACCTGTGGATATATTTTAAAGCACCAACACACAGCATCCATGTGTCACATTAAAGATAAATTAAAATTAATGAGGCAAACTATAGAACAATATTCAGGTGCCGGAACTGCTCATGTTTATATGTTCAAGCAAGTTTATGCATGTATAATCAATTTAGAAATGTCTCTCCATCATATTGTTCAAGAAGGACTCAGTTTTTTTTTCTCAGTGATGAATCTTAGTGATCAGCTGTAGCTGCTCAGCAAGGAAGAAGCCACATCCCATAAAATAGCCAAAAGCACTCCGGGACAAAATGTTTGATTTTCAGAGGCACAAATGTGGTTTAATTTTAGAAAAAAAAAATGCTTTTGTCTTTTTATGCAACTTTTGTAATTATCCAGTAACAAGTTGACATTTCTTCAGTCCTCAGTTTTGGATTTTGGCAAAATAATCATCTACACCAGCAATCTCCGCATCATAAGAGCATCACCAAAGAAGCATGAAATGATGCGGCAGCAGTCCATCCCTCCACCGGACTTGGAGGGATGTCCAAAGGCCCAGGATAGGGAAAGTCGGAAGAGGGCTAAAGCTCTTAAGGCACCGGAGGAAGTAGAAAAAGAGGAGAATGGGATTGAAAATGAAGATACCAAGGTAATGATGCATGGCCAAGTCATTCTCAGTAGTGTGGTCAAGTTTTTATCACCACATTTTTTAGTAATTTTATTTTCAGTCTCACTTGTCCTCTCTCTTCTTATCAATTCTCACTTTATTCTAGGTTTTAAGTAATCTTACTTTAAATGTTTGCCTACAAAATGTCAGCAAGTTTATCTGTCGACATCACATTCTTACCTTATAACAGGAATATTAGTTGTATTCCATTTTTGCGACTTTCCTGCTGCAATAACTGTTAACCAATTGTCCTGCTGTTATCTGTCTACTGTGAACAGATAGTGATGAGTCCACAGTTTTCTTCTGCCCTTGCTGCATCTGCTTACCACTTACAAGCCAGCAAGGAGACCCAACTTGCTATTACTTCCTCCCTCTCTTGGCTGATCACTGCTCTTTCCCCCACCATCTTGCTCCATCTTTTGCTCATTGCTTTTGTTATTGCCACATTTTTGCTGCATCTGAAAGAAAGTTTATGTTGTGTTTTATTTGTTTCATAGACACAAGATAATCTTTTATCATTTTTATGTTTGCCCAAGTTTGAAAGCTGTTAATAGTTAATTTGTAAAGAGAAATGTTATGTCATGTAATTAGAATAATTGTTGTCTAACATGTGATGTGGGATGTTTGGATTGTCAAGTGATAACGACACAAACATGAACCAAATAGAGGATAGGGCCTGTGACTCAAGTGACCCGAATGGCCCCGAAAATGACTTCAGTCATCACATTAATGTGGTTGTTATGGCTGCAACTTATAAGCCTGTTACTTGCAACCCAAATTCAGAATTTTAAAAGTCTTTCAGACAAGAAGCTTTTCTGGAAATGAGGCCACAATAATCCATCTGTCTCGCACTAGAACCATTTGTAAACAACAAACCAAGATCCTTGAACCTCTCTGCTTGAGGAAGATATTAATCCCTGACTCTGAGGTAGAAATCCACTCTTTCCACTGAGAACTGTTGTCTCAGACTTTGAGCTCATAATATTTATGAGTAACATGCAAGTTAAAGGTATGTATATTGAAAAGGATGCTCAAGCATGACTTGTATTATAAATTTTCACAGATTATCCCAGCAAGTTTTGAATGCATTTTATTAACTTTTTTGTACTAAATAACATTAGCGCGGAGTATTTATAACCTCTTTGTTCTGCCTGTCAATCTACATGGACACTTTTCACTTGTTCAATATTTGCTGACAGTGTAATTGTAAGTAAGAAAATTGCTATATAATTGTGCATTTTTCTATCACGTATCTATATAAGACAGACACTGATTAAAAATGTGGTTGGAAAAAAATCTTATTAAGTCATTAAGTTTCCTTGAGTTTCCCTGAAGGCAAGCCACTCAGACTGGGCAGCTGCATTAACATTTGCTAATTATGAGCTGGCCTGGGGTTGAGATTAATCCACTTTTGAAACAGTTGTAAAACAAACTGTAAAATGTAAAACTATAACTGTGTCAGTTCATGGAATAGAGTCAGATGTTGATAACAAAGCACTAAACCACAGACTGAATTCAAATAACTAAAAAGCAGAACCACCACACCAAGTTCTGTAATAAAAACAAATCATATGGCATTGTTATTCTTGATCTTTCAAGAGTCCCCCACTTTTTGCTTCTGCATTGTTTACCTGCTTCTTATTTTATTTCCCCATCCATCCAGCCTCTTCTACTCCTTACTCACCCTTTGCCTTACCTCACAGTTTCTCTCTCCCACCTCCTACTTCCCCCCCAATGTGTTTGCTCTGTCTCCAGGAGGCCGACAGCTGCCAGCATTGTGGTGGTTCAGGCTGCGCTCCGTGCTCCCTGTGTCATGGCAGCAAGCTGTCCATGCTAGCGAACCGCTTCAATGAGTCCATCAGTGATCTGCGTTGCCAAGCCTGCTACCCCGATGGTCTGGAGAGGTGCCAGTCCTGCTCCAGTAAATAGCACCATTTGGCCAGTACCCATGTCTGGCGATGAGAGTGCAGCGCTGAGTGTGTGACCAATGTGCTATCGCCTTGTCAGAACTGCCTCAGCCGCAATTCTGCTTTAATCCCAAAATGTTATTGGTGGGATGTTTCAGAGCTCTACAAGAAACCATAAGCCATGAGAAGACAAGGGAATAATGTCTGTTCTGCAGACACAAAAATCATAAAATAACAATTACTGTGTGTGCAGTGAATGTTGCATGAGATAACACAAAAACATAATCCCTTTTTTTGTTGTCACTTTTTGGCATCTGTGTGCCTGTTCTCTGTAAAACCTGGTTCAACAACCCTGTTATAATTTTAATTAACATGAAAAATGTTGATGTTAAATGTTCTTTTTCCCAGTTTATTAATCAGAGAGGATGTAACCTTTATCATGTCAAAATGATGTATTCTTCAAAGCTAATTACTGTTTATATTTGTTAAACTAGAGAAAACACAGAACACTGAAAATAAGGATGTTGTGTGAAAAAGTGAAAGTGTTAAAGAAAAATATTTTCTATATAAGGTATTGTTGAGCAACCTCTTTTAAAAAAGAAAATTCTCTAATGCATCAAGCTAACAGTACACATGGCTCATGTTCTATGCTCAAAATGTTGTTTTTCCACTACAATGGCATTATTTCATACATGAACTGCAACATGCCCATTTACTGCACATGCAATTTTCTTTTGCTCATGCAATTTAGCACTCCTTATTTGGAATCTTTCTTGATCACACTCTAAAACAAAAATATTCTCTGCACATTTTTTTAAAATTTAATTTATTTATCAAAGTATGTGAAGTGAATGTTGTATTATGTCAAACAAAGCACAATTTCTGATATGCAACCTTGCTAACAGTTAGATTACTGGGTTATTGGTAAACAATATCACTAAGAATTTCACAATGTACAACATGTAAACAATTGAAAGGGCAAGAAAAGGAAGAAACTGTAGTTGATGTGGTGGTTGGAGACTGATGGGCCCCAAATCTAATGCTGCGTTCAGTCCTCAAAAAGACTTGCGCCTCCTCTGAACAAGAAATACAATGAACCGGTTCAAGAGGAATCTGCATTGTTTTCTTCTTATCATGTTGAAGATGGAATGGGTAGAAAATAGGAAAAAACTAACATATCTTCCATGCTGTAACATTTCTGTCTTGGATTTGAGCCAGTTGACAAACAGTTTCATATAAGTGAATTATTGTATAAAGTATTGCTCCTTCACTAAACTCTAAGGATTTTTATCCAGCCAGTACCTTATCAACATTTAATAAAGACTAATTATTGCTGGTATCTATTAACAGTGTTAACAGTAACACAAATTCTGCACTGAGTAATTTATGTACTAGTAATGAGTCTTGTAAAGAACAAAATATTCAAGCTGATCAAACAGAACTGATTTTATAAACATTCTTTCACAAGTGGGTGGAGCAAAAAAAGTCCAAACATTAGAGATACCACACAATCATTAATAACAGAGCTAACAGGTTAACCAAACAAATTCTGGCATCAAAGAGGACATTTGATTTTCCTTGTTATGGTCACCTTTCACTTAAAAATCTTCACAACTTTAAATGACTCTCCACCAGGTTCTTAAGGTGTTCTATATTAATAACTGTACTATAGGTAACTAAAAAAAGAACTAAAATTCTGATTTTTTTTTTATTAACAGCTTGTAACTTTTATTTACTGGTTGCAATTTATTTAGTCCCTTTTCACTCCAGACTTACAGGTAAGAAATTTTCACATTCATCAAAACATATATTCCATTTTAAATTAAGCAATCCACTCTTACCACTAGCAATTAATACTCTGAGGTACAATGACCAGTGAAACTTTTAAAAATGTTTTCTACTCATAAGAGCTGATGCCTCTGATGAAGCTTTCCACCCATGTCCAAAGTGCAGTATTATGTTCTTACTCATCAAACTTCAGCACGATAAAGAACATTTGTATTAAAGACATAAATCAATCTTCGTCAGTCAATTTTGCTCAACTCTTTATATGTTATTGGGATTCTAAAAATGGAAAATAATGTGGATGTTCTCTGCTGTTGGTGTGATATTCTGGGATGCATACAGTAAGCAATGCACAATCCATTAGAAATGATTGAATCAGAGTCTTGCAGCTGTTTTCAGCCTCATACTTTAGAAGTTAGATTACTGTGGCTCATTGGTGACAGAGCAAGTGGGTCGAGTTCTGCGTGGATAAGCCTACCTGGAAGCAGCAGAAGCTTATCATTAATGCATGGTTTGTATGCACCTGTGTTACTCTGACATCAGAGAATTTGGGGGCAGATCAACCAAGGCTACAACCTAATTACACCTACACAAAGCCTGCTGTCTTACAGCAAAGCCGATTTATTGAAATGCACAATAATTACAGTGCATTTTGGCTCTAGAACCCACTCTAAATGCAACAACAATGAATTCGCTCAGCAGTTTTAACAGTATACATTCTCAGATCATGGACTATGCTTAAGTCCCTTGCATATGCAGATTGGTGGTCACTGCACTGCACATAGCAAAGAGCTCCCAGCTGGGTAGAAAAAGACACACATCTAAACTGCACATAGACAGACAAAAGCAAAGTTTTTTTAGGCTGCAGTTCAAATGCATTGTCATAAAGAACAGGAGTAGAGTGAGGAGGAAAAAGAAAAAGTAGCAGCTTATAGAGTGCATAACTTCCCAATGGACTCCAGTTCCTGAAAGATACACGGAGGCCTTATTGCAAATTGTGCAAAATAACAAAGTCTGCTGTGAGTTTCATCTGCACAGGAAACCCTCACGCTCTTAATATTCTGATGAAAATGCTGATAGTCTTTCTCCATTTTTGCTCTCACACTGAAAGTAGGTGTTACAAATTCAAAGAAGCTTTTTGATGTTCACGGATTGGGCTTTAGTCTGTATCAAAATTAACACTGCTACAACACAACTTCAGTGCTCATAAATATTCAGCCATGTCCTCCAAATTACTGACTGTTAGGTCTTTTACTTCCCATGTCTTATTATGCTGCCTTTGAAGAAGATTTGCCACCTTGGTAACCAAATCCCTAAAACTGTGAGATTTAGGACAGATACATTTTCATCATTGGCAATATTTTCAGAAGCATTTAAATATAATTAGGAGTTAGTTTTCTTACACACTTAAATTACAAATTGCCTAAAGATAATAATAGGATTACTGGCCAATAATTGCAACCATTTTACAGATCTCCAATTTATATGCTGTTAATTCATGGATTACTGCTTTTTAACTTCTTTCAGAGCTTAATATAAAACTTTTGAAATCTTTACTATTTCTTTTTAACATATATGATGCCTCTGTTATGCCCTAGCATCATGATCAAATTTGCATCACAGTGGATTATAAACAATAAGCAATAGGTCTCAGATTTATTGTTGATCTTTATACATTTTATTTTTTCAATGAGTCTGAAATGTCAGTTCCTTTCCATAATCTGTATTCAGCAGTGAAAGATGCATCATAAAGATAATAAAAAAAGTTTAATGATAATCCTCGATATGTAATACTGGAATGTTTCTTTTTTTATGTCAAATATTGTATGAATATGCTAATAGCTTTTACTATAAATGGCACACAACCACAAATGCATCACTGCATAATTACATTTAATTACACCTTACCCATTCCTGCTAAAATTAGAGGCACTCAGTCATGTTTCTATTGTATTCTGGGATACTTATGAGAAAAAATATTTCATGTTCTTACCATGTTTTCATACCTCAGTATATGTGAGACAGTTAAATATTTTCTCTGTGGTGAATGTTATGTTGCCAGGAGCCATCATAAACCGAAAAAAATATGATTTAAACATCAGTTGATGTTATTAGTCACAGAGGACTTATTTTTTTAGCCAGAGGCTATTTTCTTAAAAGTTACACAAACATGCCAGAGCTAAAACTTATAATTTTCAGTATGTAAACAACATATGAACTGCATTGAGCTAAAAGGTGTATTTTATATTCCATTTTGTGCATCGAGATAAAAGATAATCAATCAAAAACTGTGCCCAATTATTATTCAACTCCGCAAGGCTTCCATGTCACAACCCTCACCTGACCAAACATCTGGAGGGATTTTAAACCCATTATCCTCACATTACTTTGTTTGCACAGGTAATTTCCATTTTTACTTTTTTTGTGTCAAGACAATAAAATATATGGAGCTAGCAATATGGCCGAGGACATGTCTGTTCAAACAAGAATCAAATTACAGCAGTGGAGGAAGGTCAATTCAAAGACCTTTGTTTTCATTTCCTGTGACCTCTCTGCTCAGAAGTCTGCTACCAATATGGACATTAAGGCTATGCTTCTGAACTTTTTAACCACCATTCTCACCTTTATTCCACTGGGCAACCAGTACGGTACAGAATTGGGTCACAAAACTGTTCTTGGCCTCTCATGTCCTGTGCAGGCCCAAAGGGATAAGGGGGAAAGGTAAAAGCCACTCCAATGTCAACCCAAATATAGTACGTTTGCAATACTTAGAAACTGAAACGTAAACTGGACATTTTTAAAGTTTATTGAATTCTGTCACTCAAAGAAGATTTGTGTATACCTTATTTTTTTCTTTAATTAGAACAGATTAATGCAACCATGCATTCATTCATTTCAAAATGTTTTTTTCTTTTTATTTGTGTATTGCTGACCAGATTCATGCAATTTTCACATATATAGAATCATGCTTTAGAAAGCAAGCCTATAAGAAAATGCATTAAATACCCACGCAGCACATTATGCACAGGTTCAAACACATGACAGTATGAAAACAAGAGATTTTATTAAAGTATAAAACTCCCACATTTTTATTGTAAATGTTGGGTTTTCACTCTCTGTAAACCATTATGGGAGTTACTAAAAATAAAGCAAATCTATATCTGAGTTTTCATTTTATGAAATGAGACAAATTATTGTAGAACTTCATGATATTCAAATATTCATCACATCTAGGTCACTACAAATGTGATGGGCAACTACATTTTCAAATCTGATCTGTCCCATCAGTTTTTTTTGCTTTAAATCTGCCACCCATCATCGCTACATAACACCCCTGAGTTGGTTTGTGAGACAGTTTGTGACCACTTTGCTTGATGTCTCAGATGCATAACAGCAGCTAATTGATGTCAGTAGTCAGCACACCTTCATCCAATGCACAAGGCAAAACGGGAATACATTGACACACATACTTTATATAAGCGGCAGAATGATGTTTCAGAATATACATTTTATATCAACATTTATTTCTTAACATTTGAAACCCATCACTATACACTCTTCCTCCATATAAGGCAAGATAACAAACAGTGTGACTGCAACTTTATTGTTGCATTTTTTTATTGAAAGAGAAATAAGTTCAGGTTGTTTAGGAACGCACAAAAGAATTGCCTTGAAAAGTGCTGCTTGTGACGTGTCGCTGGCTGGATTTGTGCTCTACAATTATGCATTTCTGCACTAAGTCACTCCGCTGAGTAGCTGACAAAACGTGATGAAGAGTAGCACCACATACCTGTCAGTTGTACAAGTGCTGCTGACAGTAGATCAGATCAGTCAACTTTGTTTTTGCACAATAAAAACAATACATTAAGAGGAAGCATCATGCTGTTAATCAACAGTGTGTTACAGTAATTTGCCAAGCACAGACTTCTTAACAGATCCATCTTATTGTTCTCCAAAAATAATTAACACAACTTATTACAAACTTGATCAATTATTTGGTGGATCTACACAATCTTTTTAAAAATATATTGTCTGTCTGTATGAAACTTTTTTCAATTTATTTTGAGCCTTGTCTTAAATATCATCCTGTGCAATAGGACAAGTAACAAATACAGAAAGCTGGTGTGAATTAATAAGGTAAAATCCTTGCATCATTACAGCCTCATTGTTTCTTATGCTACTGTTGGAGCCTAAGAATTAGATTAATTTATTTTTGCTAAATTATTAATGTTATTGATCTGAGATTTATTGTTTGAATGGTGGATCTATTGTTTTTCATTTATTGATTTGTTTTGCTTAGACCGTCCTCCTTGTCAATCAGCCTCCTGCTGTGATTAACAAGCAGAAGCAGCTGCTGTGTTTGATCTGATTGTTTGGTGAAGGAGTGAAATAGGTTTTCTACCACCAATTAACGTTTATATTTACCTTTTTTTGTAAGTCAACTTAGAGAATATTTCTGTTATTTTTATAAGTAAAGAAAACACCCCTTTTGAAACAAGAAAACTCTCTGCGAGTGCTTTGTGTTTTCTGTTTTGGGTGAGTTGAAAACCTCCTACAAGGAACTCCACTGTCATTTTTGGATTTTTGGGAACTTGTTATTCTGCAGGAGTACACAAGTTAATCTGGGATGGCGATTGTTTGTAGGAGCAGGGAACTTCCATTAATCATAAACTTTTCTTCAGGTGCCCGGCATTGCACCAAGTCATTTAATCACAAGACAGTTTTTTGGCTGAGACTGCATTTAGGATCCTTGTCTTTATTTCAGCTCTTTATTTTCTCACTCATACTCAATGAGAGTAAAACAAGAGTTGTAAAACTTTACTAATAAGCAAATATTTTTTGAGCATATTATAAAATGTCACTTTGCCTTTTTCTGTTCTTCATAGCAGGAAGTGTAAGGATTTTCTAGCAATTAGAGCGTGTCGTAGAGTCGCTAAAAAACAATGCAAACATTGATGCTGCTCAATTAACATTTAGCAAAAGGCTCAATTCTTCACCGTTTATTGCAACCTCCAGCAACAGCAAAATTATTTTTTATTAAAAAAAATATACATGTTTGCTCAGTTTTGTTACATTTGTTTTGTTTGCAATTGATTTAAAATGGCTTGTAACTTGGAATGTTTTTATTCTGAACCTTACTGGTGAAGGCTATCTGGGTGGGAAGCTTAAACTAACTAAAATGGGATCATCAATGCAATATTAACTTGTGATGGTGACTGTTTTGTATTTTTTATTCATAATATCTTGTTTATTCTGCTTTTGTTCCAGCCTTAGATGTCTGTCCTTTTCAGAGAGAGGGGCTTCCTTCCACTTTCTGAGAGCTTTTCTGTGTTAGTTTTTTCTGCGGGCACTGAATTATCTGGCCACCCTCCCATGACCTCAACAAGGTGTTTCAGTCCACAGAACAGTTTCTTCAATGCTTTTCACACAATTCTGAGTACAATCTAAGAAATGTTGTGCATCAAAATCCCCAGAGATGAGCAGTTTCACAAATGCTCAGAGTAGTCAGTCAGGCACCATAAAAAAAGCTTTGATTACAGAGACTATTTTGAGATTAACATTAACTGATGCTTCTGAAATTGTTCCTCTTTGCTCCTGCTACAGAATGTGATTATTGTATTGCATGTTTAGAACTGTTGCTTGATTGAAAGAACATCCTGGGTTTGAATCCCGTTCTGGTACTGTGGGTTCCTAAAAACAGCCTAAAAACATTTATCACAGGTTAACTGGATTAGATATGGGTGTGTGTGCATGTCCTTTTGACTTAAATGCTGCTATGGCTGTACGAAAGGAGACCCTGCTAGCCTAGTGAGATAGGCACTAGCAACCCTGGGACACTGCAAGGGTCAATAGATGTCTTCTATGATTGTGAATCAACCAGAAGATAGACAGACACACACCTAAACAAAACCCCAAAAACAAATAAAAAGTATTTTCGAGGTCTCCTAGAGTCTGGCTGTAATGTAAGCAACACATTCCAATTTCTAAATATTGATATGCTATTTACACATATCTTGGTATTCAACTTCTACAAACATGGCTTTACATGCTAAATTGTCAACCCCATACAATAGAAAAACAATTCTTGACTCTCATCCAAGAAGTTGTAAATATCATATTTGGATGCATGTGGATGCTCTGCCATCCAGCCGTGTTCTGCCATGTTCTTCAAACAGCAAACGAAAAGTCACAGACATTTCTCTAGAACAGAACATTGCATATAATGTTGCCTCTGCATGTACTGTTTTTATTACATGTTAAGTTTGTTTAAAATAAAACTAACTGAATGTCAGGTTTGGTAAATTGATATTCTGGTAATTAAACATTCAAGTATACAAAGTAGAGTATTTTGTTTCATTTGAGTTCCTGCTGTTACCATGGACTGAAAGTTTACATATTTTAGCCAACACTGTAATTGCAAACCAAGTTAACATTTTGTTTTCTGTGTGAGAAGATGCACATTTCAGTATTTGAAGAACATTTGATTTTACATGTCCAAATGTTGTGTATCCTCTATCCGTTTTGCTACATCTGATTGAAAGTGGCAATCAGAATATTGAATGTAAAGTCTTTTCAAAGTTGCTGGTCTCATGATTTTTCTTGCATTTCTAAAAAATGTTTTCTATTACACATGTCACAATATCCATAAAATTTGAAACAAACAAAAAACGCAGCCAAAGAAAATCCTGTCAATATATTTTATTTTCAATCATAACAAGAAACTGGAGATGTCATATTTTCCTGCTTGTAAACAATGTTTAATATAAAATGTATGGAGCTCTGT